CTCTTTTCAGCCTGCTGACTGCCAGTGTGCAGCAATAGTTGAAGGAAAAATGCCTCTCACTCCAGCACCATTAACGGTCAAAAATTATCTCTCTCTCTCTATATATATATATATATATATAAAACCCAGCCTTGCTCTGTACTGTGAGCCTGAACGCTACAATCCAGTGTTACAAGCTTTCAATAAAACATTGCCAGGTAAACCAGTAATACATTTCACACATTGGATGACAACTAAATACAAGCCAACACGTGCGACTTTGGCAATAAAGTTAATTAGGGTTAAAAAAAAAAAAGAGCGTCTGAATTCCAGTTATGGCATGTCATCATTTTGTGGAAAATTCAAGTAAAAATTAAACCTTCAGCAATGCAAATAATAAAAAAAGCTTTCCTTATTAGATTAAAACATGTTCACTTCCACTCTAAGTTTGTTTTATTATTTTCTTTTCAAAAACTATACAATAAACTGATTTAGCTTCTTATGAAACTAAGCCTATGCAATGATATCTCATTCGAAGGGGGCCATAAATATATTTTGGCTCATATTTTATTATTTACCCGATTGGTCATAAGCAAAGACTGAATTAATTACAGCTGCTCCACTATTTTTACAATTAAACTTTTATAATTCCTTCTGTAATTGCCACTGAAGTGGGCTGCATCATTCAGTCACTGAAAATGGCTGTTTGGGAAAAAAAAAATAGAAAAGAAAAAAAAGAAACTACCCACTTAAAAATAACTTAAACATACTACTCTAATAAATTATAATCAATGGAAAGAATCTTCAGTTTCTTGAAATAATTCAGTGCTATACTTCACTTAGTCATTTTCCACAGCTCAGAACCAAATGGTCCCTAAGTTGGCGCCTTGTGGTACACCAGCTGCTTGCCTGTGGGCCAAGTTCCCAGCAGTAGCCAGGAGACACAGGCGGGTTTCTGCCAGTAGTGCCCGGTTCGGCAGTCACCGTCCTTAAGCTGCTCCTCGTCTTCTCACTTCAGCTCGTCTTCTGTGGTTCAATGTGCAAAGTGGGCCAGACGCCACACAGAAACTGAACGAAGGGAACATCCAGCAACAGGTCAGGACTCCAGAGATTCAAGCTACAAACATTTCAAAATCTTTTAAAAGCTTGTCCCATAAAAGTAACGACACTGGCATACCTTAACTTTTGGTCTATACTTGAGGTAGGTGGATCTGATCTGCAAGCTGGAGGGATGCAGGCAGCAGCGTAAGTCGTCATAACCGAGCACTTTGTTGACACAGACTAGGGATCTTACCTGAGGAGAATGTGCAGGTAGGAGCCGAGACCTGTGAAAATGTGCCACCAGGCATGGAACTGTGTCACCACTCCAACACCAGGGGGCAGCACTTGTCTACTGGTTCTGAGTTAGGAAAAGAAAAAAAAGAACTACTTTCAGGCAATTTTATTTCCTGCTTTGATCAACAAATACGTCCAAAAGGATTTTAGTCAGTTTAATTTATAATCTTAGAAATGTCTACACTTCTTGGATATTTTTAAATATTAGAAAAATAAAAAAAACATTACTATTCTTTTAGTGATCATTTAGATGAAATATGTGCTACTTCACTTGTCTTTTTTACTGTCAATATGGCATTTCTAAAACTCTTAACATTAAATCTTCTCACCTTAACGAGTCACAGAAAATGTTGTCGATGTTCCACAGCAGGAAGCCCAACATAAAGATCCCTAAAGAGGTGTAACACAGGCCCCTGAGCCACGGGTACACCCTGAAAACACAGGGCCGCACAGCCTTTCATCAGGACGCCGCTTTATTGAATACGTCTGAACTATTCTCTTCACATGACTGGTGTTAATTACCATGTAACAATGAAGACCGAACGCATCACCAGGCAAGCTACCAGGGCACCATACATGACCTGAAAAGAGGATCCGCACTTAGATCTAAAACAGTCCACGAGCAAATGCTTGCTACAGTTTAAAGAGTTAGGCCAAGAGGAGTTTTGCTGGAGAGAAAAACGTCTTTTTAATGTGTTTTCATTTGGCTTACTGAAAGTGAGGTTTTACAGAAATGTTGCACATGAAAGGAAAAGCAAAAGTGTCAGCAGTTTCACTTCTGCTTACCGGGTAAATAAATATCCTGCAGACTAACTGGTGTAAGTAACACCAGTTCAGGAAAGTGCATCACCTGGCCTGGAAGGCAGAGAAACTAAGCAATTTGTTTACTTCTTTATTTATATGAAAAAAAAAAAAAGTTTAAAAATTAGATTTAAAAAGTGTTACAAAGGTCAGCAAAACCAGATTAATGTTTAAATCCAAATTAACTGCTGCTGGCTTACGCCGCCCAACTCGATCTTTAAGCTCGCACGTGAAAATGGTTGCAAACAGATGCACAATTATGCAACCGTGCATCTTTTAAAGCCGAGGTGGAGCCTCCTGCACAACCAACAAGGATGCAGCAAGCGGTTTCTGGATGGTACGTCAAAAAATAAAACTCTTGTATTTTGTGCAGTTGATGCAGGGACTGGTTATACCTATATTATTGAAAATAATCAAACCAAATCTCCACTCAGTTCTATAGCAGCTACTCTTTGAAGTTCTTAAACGTAAGAAAATCAAACAAATGAAAAAGCAGTTCTTATGATAGAAGAATACCAAAAATGTACTGAACCGTGTACACACTGCCTACCAATCGGCATCTACCATCCAGAGTGCGCCTGCTGTGTGGGCGGGCCCACTGTTTACATAAGTTAAAGGTGACCTACAGCACACTGCACCCTGCTAGCAAACAAGGGCAGACAAACGCCTTACCTGGTGAAACACTGGCTCCTTCCACTGCAGGTACACCTGAACAAGATACACAAAGAACGAGAGGTTATGACTGTTTTTGTCTACTATGTTTACAGTAAGCAACTTTTAAAGCACTTGCAGACACTCACCAACGTGACCGAGACGCTGAAGATTATCAACAACACGATAGGAAACACACTGATGCTGTTCTCTTGCTTGAAGCACTCGTATCTGAACAAAAGAAATGTGTCCCCGTCTTTTAGCTTCGGCTTAAGCTGCGTTAAAAGGTGAGGTTGAAAAAAAGCGGTTCATGAAGTACACACACGGCTGGAACATTATAGTTCCCTGGAGCCGTGAGGCATTCACTTGAAATTGGATTCAACAGGTCTTTTTACAGTCTATGTCACATTATACAGGTGTGGACAAATTGGCAAAAAAAAAAAAGCTTAAATGAAATAATTTTTTACTGCAGTAGCAAAACAAAGGAAACAATTAGAAAAAACTCCTATATATTCAATCAGGGAAAACACTAAAAATTATGCATTTCCTTCTGGAGCGGTAGCAGAATTATTGCTAACCCTAACAATTCATTTACATAAAATGTTACTGAGCATTTTAGACCAGCTTTCAAAACCAGTTCATCGGTAAAGGACTTTAAATGCATCAAAATAAGTTAAAAAAAAATCTGAACCACTTACAGACAGTACACAAACACACATGTACTGTAAATCATTGGCAACTCGTCCAGCAGCTGCAAAACAGCAGAAAGAAAACATAAATAAATTTTATTGAGAACAATAAAGCTTGTCTGTGGATGTGTGGAGTGTGAGAGGATGAAACGGCTGCGTATCCCACCTGCATCTCATACAGCAGCGTCATGTGGAAGCACCAGGAGCCGACGCCTACAGCTGCGTCCCACGAAATACACACAGAGAGAAACGGAAAGACGTTTTAACATCCTGCCATACGAGCGGCGCGACCAGCAGGAGTATCGGCTATGAGGCCTTCACCTCACCTGAAAGACCAAGAAACGAGCAGATATAACGAAACTCCAGGCCGTCCCGGAACGTCTGGACGGCTCCGTATATGGGAGGAAGAATCATTATCAGGTTGCTGACCGTGTTCCCTGTTCAAACAGAAGAGAACAAGTCCGACTTTAGATCGAAACATCTGCAACTCCTTCTATTGTTGAGCTGCTGCTTCTAAATGGTACTCTACTCCTGCTTTATTTAAAGTCTTCCTGTCGGTTTAAAACGGGCCCGCAGTACAAAACAGGATGTGATGTCGCTGAGGTAACCTTGAGTTCAATCCAGTTTCCAAGGTTACTAATTAAGTTTCCATCACGTTCAGGCTTTTCCTGGTCTATATAGAGTTCCTGTTTTCTTTGAGGTCTGACTTGTTGATTCCCAATTTGACTGAAGCTGGTCAAATATTTGCATTTTCTATCACTTCTTTTAACTTCACAAGTTTATTTTTAAGTTGAAGTTAAGATAAAAGATGACATGGCAGTTTCTCCTTATCCAAGCTCTGTTTTATTTTCTAATATGGCCAAACTGTTGATTTTGAATGTGCCTTTGCAACACTATAAATCCATGTGGCCTGGCTAAATATCAAACACTAAACAGCTTAACACCAAACTGTTACCAAGAATTTTTGGTTTTGTTTCTACTGCAAATATCTCAGTACACTTGAAATAAGACAAAACTAACATTCAAGTAGCTTTTCCAGGAGAAAAAGTTAAACTTCTTAGGAGTTTGAGTAAATAATTCCTTAACATTGATGACAAAGTACTTGTTCAATCAGCAGGTTATTTCACTTATAACGAGATATTTTTCCCATGATGCAAGTGAAATAATCTGCCAATGGAACAAATACGTTTTCATCAATATTAAGCAATCATCGACTTACAACAAGCTCCTCTATCTTGGTAAAAAAGTTACCTATAAGTTAGTTTTGTCTTATTTCAAGTGTACCAAGGTATTTGCACTGGAAACCAAACCAAGACTACTTGGTAAGGTTTTGTGTTCTTGTGGTGCAGATAAAAACAGACGCCAGAAGATGACGTTATCAAATCTCCAACAACGACCTGAATAAAGCACAGGTGCACAATCAGGCGTATCAAGCAGAACAAACCGTTTATCTGCAGCAGAGGCTCATTAAGCCAACATAACCTTGTCCTTGTTTCTAAGACTAAACAGATAATGTTTTTATGGCTCTGTAACACCGCGTGAAACAGGAATGCTGCGTTATAAGCACTGACTCAATCAAGCATCAGCCGCTTCGAAGTTTATCTGTTCAAATTTCCTGCAGGATCCACTGATTCCTGCAATAATTCGGCAGCTCTGAGCCTCTTGGCTCTCCTGAATGGGCCTCTCCTGCCTTTCAGTGGGAACACAACTAGTTGCTGAGTTGGCAAAGCAGTCACCTTCCTGGGTCAACTCAGGAGGATTGCTTTTATTAGGCTTACAGCAGTCAGATAACGAACCGTCATCTGTTGAACTTGCTTCACAGTCCAGTGGGACGATGGGTGTGTTTGATTCTGCAGCATATGTGGCTGGTACAGAGCTCAATATGGAAGGTCTCTATTGATTTCTGTCCTTCGAATTACATCCAGAGAAGTGCTTACACTTCTTGTTGAAGAATTACCTTTGATTTGGTATCCATGTTGTACCTGCTTGTTGTTCTGCTGTAACATTATCAGAACCACAGGCAATGTGAGTTAGATAATAATCAGAGTCATGTATGTTCAAGGTTTCCCCCAGAAAACTTGCTAAGCCCGGTGATAGTGTGCTAGGGCAGTCATTCATCCAGCAGTTTGTCGTGTTTTTGAGTTAAAAAAATGTTTAACGTTTTCAAGGAAGTTTGAAAATATCACTTGATAATTATGTGTTATTGAAAGATTAATACCAACTATAAAGCCTTAGAAATGCAAACATTTTAAAAAGACACCAACAACACCACAGAAACGCATTCAGATTTATTCCAGACTTTGACTTTGCTGACTTTCCACAGCTCAGAGTGATGCTAGCCTTGTTCGTTTGTGCTGCTGTACTTCAGGTTATTATCCTCCTGCAATAATAAATGTAAGGTTAAAAACTGATGGCCCCCTAAACCTTCACACCCGGAATTTAATTTAGGAGACAAATAAAAAGCTAGAAAACTACTCTAAATGTGCTCAGGCTTGCAGCATGATTTAGTAGGGAATTACTGTAAGTCTCGTCTAGAAGGATAATGGCAAAAAGGCAAGTTGTAGAATTCAGCTCGATGTAGCAAGCCTGGATAAGCGGCTAAATGCTGAAATCTAATTCCTGTGCAGAAGTGCAGGAACAAGGCGGCCATTATTTTCTGAAAAGATTCTATATGAACAAGAGGTTGGGAAGCCCTGCTTTGGATGTTGTTCTGGGTTTTCTGTGACTTCCTGGTTGAGTCGTAGATGAGCCCTCAGTGATTTTGGTACCTTAAGGAAGCGTTAGCGCCCCCTCCACCTGTTCTCCCCGTTTATAGGTACTACCTCTCACGGAAACCCCAAAGTCTTTGAAAGAACTTTGCAGACCCAATTCCAGACTGAGAGATATCATCCGGTTTGTTTTTCATCGTCAGTTAAGAGAATGGTAAAGATGTGGAAATAATCAGGGAGTAGCTTTTGAAATGGAACTTAATTTTGTTTTTTTTGTTTTTTTATGTTTAATTACAATTAAATTATGATTCACTGAGAGGAGCAATCCATCTTCAAAATTTAAATCATCATTTGAAAAGTGCATTTTAGTTTTTTTCAGGTTATCTTTGATGCAAAATTTAGCTCAAAGATCTGAAACATTTAAATGTGATACAAAAATATAAGTAATTTGTAACAGCGCTGCATGAATCAAATTAATTCTCCATATATTGAAATTTGTCTTACACAGTATTCACACTTATTTTCATTGTGCATGCTGTGCTTTTATAAACCAGCCTGATTAGACTGAAATAACTCCATCTAAAAGACATTATTTATTGCATTAACATTTCCTCAAATTAAACTAGGAAAATTACTTTAAATTGTCATTTGCTAAAAGTGGGAGCAAAACAAAAAAGTCCTGCAGTGTTTGTTTCATTTCATGCTCAACTTTATAACCAATCCTAAAAATTTAAGAAATGACAAAAGTGGTGCGATGAGAGGAAACAATCAGAACATGACCCAGAATTTGAACACAAAAGTCAAGGCATGTGCCGTTTTAAAATGCATGCATGCATGCATGCGCTCAGGCAATGGATAACAAACGCAAACAAACCCTAAGCACGCTGCAGCGCGTCACTGTGGGTGCGCCGTTTAAACATTTCAACGACAAGTGCAAATATATGAGTGGCATGTGCGCGGCGACGTCCCTCACGACGGCCATGCTCCGCTCCGCCGTCACAGACATAATCCACCAAAGTGACGCCTCGGACGTAGGCTGAACGTTCCGGCCCCGCTCCAGGAACAAAGCCGCATTCCGGCCGCTGAAACCTGAATAAGAGTCGTTTAAATGCCAAGCCATTCTCCTGCAGCTGACAACCACCACCTCTGCGGGGCCGGTGCGTGTGTTATTTATGCAAACAAAAGTCTCAACTGTTGGTATTCAGCAGGTGTGTTGTTGGAGGTGTGAAGGTTTAGAAAACCTGTCAGCGATATTCTGTTGATTGTCGCTACAAAGGAGGTCTGAACTCTGACCCAGCTGGCCTGACTTCCCGTTGAAAAAAGTTGTTGCCTTAGGCAGACATAAACCAGTTTGGTTTATGTAGGAGTTAATGGGATAAACCTATTAACTCTGCACATTTTTAACTAATTATTTTCCCTTTCTTTATTCTCGTACGCATTACACGCATTGACAACAAGAGCTATTTGAATAAACGATCCCTGTGATGTTAAATGCTGCCGAGATGTTTGGGCGTGTGAGTAAAAGTGCAGCTTTTGCCATATCATTGCATCGCTCTGCTGACAAGGCAGCTGTCTAAATGGTCTGATAGAAGCGCTGTTTACATCTTAGATAGTGGCGCTCGAGGAACCAGTTTTTATCATTAGACCAAACAAGAAGACTCAAACAGAGCTGAAGGAATGTTTTATCAGCTATAAAGATGTGACTGAGAATCACACACTCCAAGAATCAACAACTAACTTAAAACCAGAGGCAGGTTTAGACATCGAGCCCAAGGAATTACCAAGCAAACACATGAGAAATTTAATTTATGAAATTTATCTGCTCTGTTGTGAGCTGTAGTAGCCAATGCTAATTTGTGGTGAGGTCATGCTTACCCTGCCATACTTTGTCTTTGCTGCTCATAAACAAACTTTAGCTTAGCTACTGCAACCTACTGAAATGGAGGATACCAATTAGTGTTACCATAGTGCAAAATGATGGAACTGCGCCCTTTTTTAAAAATCAATCTGTGGATACCGAATCGTCAATAGACTGCAGTCAAATGTCGTAATAATTTTTTTTATTTTATGTATCTCTTTTACCTATATATCTTATTACAAAGATATATTTATAGCAAAAACAAAGTACATTTTCTGTTAAGCCACACTACATGTTTAAAAATAGAGGCAATGCCAAAATGGAAAAATCCCCAACAACAAAAAAAACTAAAAACATTTTAAACATATGTACAAAACACATGAAACCTTAGAAATACATGCCGTACACTTTTTTTTTAAACCAGTACTTTATGAAGCCCGTAATGCCGAAACCAAGTAGTTTAAACCTCTGAGGTTAAAACATTTATTAGCATTAGTTCAACAACAAACATCCCCAGAAACTGCAAATACAGGGCTATAGATCAAGAGTCCCAAGATTTTTTTTTTTTTATAAAATGGCCAGAGAGATATTTTTTATATCAATTTACAAACAAGGACTAATTGTAGAAATAAGATTCAATTAGACTTTAAATACGTTAAAGTAAATATGTATATACACATTTAAAAAACAGGGCATGGAGGGAGTAGGAGGGCAACATGGCCAGTTTCGCCCAGGACTCTAGCTGCCTAGATCCACCTCTGGTTGAAATGCAACACAGCTGCTGTGACAAAGAGTAAGGTAAATGTTTTAGGATTTTGCTAATGATTACATTACCCAGCTGTCGCTGCACTGCACGAATCGATCTTTAGTAAAACTATTCGTCAGAGAGCAGGTTCACAACATGTCCAATATGTTTCTGTTTCCCTTGTTAGCAGACAGTTTTTATGGCAGGTCAGGTGCCGTACAGGCTAACATTTAGCATATAAACAGAGCCGAAATGAACGCGGTATTTCAGACACACTGGATAATTGTTCCAGCTGAGTAGCCGTACATGCCCAGTCTCAGTGTTTACGTTATTACGGGCGACTGACTGTACGTGTACAGTATGACTCTTACCGCCGAAAAGTCTCTTAAAAACGAACCCTTGGACACGCGGCTTTTCGGTAAAAGGGACAGAAATGTCTTACTCACAGAACTCCGCGATGTAGGAAGAGACGACATAATTCTCCTCGCACCAGTCCAGCGTTGAGGTCGGCCGCCCCCAGTATCCTTGCCTGTCTATCGAGGGAGCCATGATGGAAGAGGAGGAAGCGGAGGGCACTAACGGGTTTGTAGTCCCATCACAGCGCGAGCTGCGCGCGAGCAATGCGCGAGCCCTCCTACTCGGGAGCTCGAGATGGTTTGGCAGGTAGAAACAGATAAATTGGACCACTACAACACATCAAAACATGCGTGTACAGTCAGGATATTTGCGAGAAAATTTTATTTTTTAATCATTTAGGTTTTTTTTTTTTTTTTTTTTTTTTTTTCCAACACGTACTAGTTGAAAACCGTAATGGTGAAAATCTAGGCATGAACACAAAAATGGAAACCACACCAAAAGTAACCAGTTAATAGCACAGTTTTACTTTAAAGTATCATTTCCACACTTGCAATATTTAGACGTGTGTAAGGCTAGTTTGAAACACACTCAACCGTTGCTGATTTGGTTTGGTGTTTCAAAGTTTATGCTGTTATAAAGCTTTTATGTAATAATGTAAAAACTGCAACATTACTAGACACTACTTTCTCTCAGATTAAAATAAAAATAGGGGAAAAGGACGTTGGAACAGCTGTGCCTGTATGTAGTTTAACCATAAAGTCGATAGGTGGCGATAAAGGCTAGGGAGTGTTTCGGAATGCACTGAAACATTAATATGCACAAAAATTAATAATAATTCCAAGGAGAAAAACATAACACCAATATTATTGTTATTATTTACTGCTTCCCATGTGTTATTAGGATAAACCTCACATTGGGAGATTGCTGACATACAATTACACATGAGTTGAAGCAATTACATGATAAAAAAAACACAGCTACATGTTTTCTCACATTCTTTATTTTAAAAGAAGGAAATGCCTCACATACTTTTTTCCCCTCAAACATGAAAGGCATTCTTTTAAAAATGAAGAATATTTAGGTGAATCAGCTGTTCCCAAGTGCATCAGGAAAGCATGAAAAAAATAACAACAGACTGCAACAGTGCAAAGAACAGAAACAAAAATATAGCTACCACTTTGGAAAAAAATATGACTTTGTTGCTTTCTTTTTTTTAAAAATCTCAAATCTTAGAATTTGCCAAAGACAAACACTGAAATGCTGTATCTTGAAAATAACCCATTCAGACATTAGAGTATAACAAATATCCCATAGATGACCGCAATAATCCAAATTGCATTATCTTTATTTTTTAGTTCTCAGTCTACAATGTAAAATATGAAATAATTTATTGTCAATTGGAAAACTCAATTGTAAAAATGCCTAACACAATTCCCATATTCAGTGTTTTGGAATGGCTTTTATAACAGGGGAATACAATTATACATCAAAACACATCCAGAACATACAGATTCAGTTATAACTCGTCTCTCATTTTTTCTCCTTTGGGCCTGACCATCCGGCCGATGAACAGGAGCGAGTTTGTTTTCTTGTCCTTGATGAAGAAAACGAATGGGTGGTCAGCATAAAACAGCTTTGGGGTTTTGAGTTTCTCTGTGCCAAAGATGCTGGTATCAATTTCATTTCCATGAGTGTCCCATTCCAAGGCCACAGCATGGAGTACGCTGGACAGATAGAGGTCCTTTTTCCCAGAGACGTTGGACAGATCAGCTTTGGATTTGTCCACAGCCTCGGTGAGGCCCAGATCCTGAAGGTGCTTCTAAAAAACAAAAAGAGCAGAAAGATTCAATGTGATGAAACTGTAAGGGTGAGAATCTCAGAGTGATGAATTTTCTCCAAATCAAGTCTCATGAAGTGTGGCGTGTTTTACCTGCAGGTTGTGACTAACTTCCATGCTGACTTTAGGCAGAGAAACAGCCACTGCTGTCTGCTTCATTTTTCCCATCCATGTGTCCAGTTGCTTTTTACTAAGCATCTTCTCTAGTCTGTCCAGAGGCTCCACATGGTAGGGCATGATGAACACCACTGTGGACTTCTTATGAGCCAAAGGCAAGCTCAGAAGATACAGTTTATTGGTTGTGTCATCATAGAAGTCAAATAGACCTGAAAATAACCCCCAAAAAACAGCGGCACATATAAAGGTCCCACAACTGTTCTTACACTGAGGAACCTCTTAAAGGGGCATTATTTCGTGTTTTCCAGGCACATAGTGTCATTTTTATAGACCAGTCAATAACTATGTTAACTTAAGTTGTTATAAAAATGTTATATATATCAAATATGACATAAAGATGTTTGACTTCAAATTGGGTCTCTTTCTCTTTAAGACCCCTGCTCTTTCTGACACTCCACCTCCAGGAAGTCATCACAACATTACTCCTCTATCAACATTTACTGTACAAATTAGCAATTTTTTGAATAAATGAGTATAACTTTGACCGCTAGATGGCGTCAAAGCGTTTCCAATACTTTTTTTTTTTTTTTTTTGCTAGTTTGGGCTGAAAATGCATCAAACATTTTATAGGAGTTAATGAAATGTACAAAAACACACAAAACACTATCCCTTTAAGTAAAATAGTTTTGTGTGATATCTGTAATTTGTGAATCAACCTAAGCAGTTAGTTATCAGAAATTCTGTTTCCACAGTTTTTGTTGTGTGAACAGCACAAAAGTTCCTTATGTCGATTTTTTTCCTGCCAGAAAAAACAAAAACAAAAAAAAAAAAACAGAGATTCTTTCACCCACCTGTGCGGTGCATCATCTGCAATGCCACTGTGTAGCTACCGGTCACCAGGAACCCTCGGTTGTCCACCATTGTGGGGTGGAACTGCTCATCCCAGTGAGCTGTGAGGAAAGGCCAGGCTTATTTAGAGTTCCTTCAGATGAAACAGTTCAATTCCACACAGAGATACACACTTACGTTTGAAAAACATAGCATTGATGATCATTGCTCCATCAGTGTTTTCCACGTCTTTGGTGACCTCGGGCAGCTTGCCGTCGGTGGACTTGGCCGCCCACTTGTTGATGGAGTTAATGGCACTCTTTTTATCTCTGAAGTTGATCTTGGAATGATCACATTTGTAATGCTTTTTGCTGCTCTTCACGAAATCCTCCACAAAGGTGACGGAGCTCGGTCCGTAGAGGCGGTTGCTAATCTTCCAGGTGACATTGCGCTCTTTTGGGTCGCTCACCTCGGTGAGGAGCTCCGCCAAACCAGAGTGCAGCTGCTCGTCCTGAACCTTGGCTGCGTTCAGGATGGTCTTCACTTGGGAAGCCGTGGAACCCTTTCCCCCGAGAGCCACCAGACCCAGGGAGGAGGCCACTACCACGGGGGAGATGAGGATGTTCTCTGCTCCTTTTTCCTTCGCCACATTCTGGTAGAGGCTGATAGCCAGATTGGCGCTGTTGTCAGCCAGTATGGTGGCATGGTTGCTAAGGACTTTATCTGCTGTTGTAGCCGTGGCAGCTGAGATCGCCGGGGCCAGAAGGGCCAGGGACACCAGGAATGTTAGCCACATTGTTACAAAACCTGGAAAGAACATGAAGTCAGCTGTTTGTTTTTTTATTATTGTGTGTCAAACTTCTACATACAGAAGAACAAACTCCCACATTTGACCAAACTGCTGTAATACACTTATAAAGACCATCCCCTTGTACTATCTGGTTTGGTACAGAGGGTCTGGGCTCTTGGACTATGACGAGGTTTTAAATGTTATCCAATAACTAATGTTTGCCTGTGACACATTTAATGCAGCGGTTCCATGCTATGAAGCTTACCAGAAATCGCCTGCACTGTAAACAACCATCCTCCAACCAGGTGTTGAGCCGAAACAGACCCAGGTCCTTTTAGTGTTTATTCAATAATTGGTATACTTGAACGGCTTTGTTCACTTCCTCAACTGCCATTTCTTAAACGATCGGCAGACGACTATTCTAAAACATTGCAGAAAATCTACGTCATTCTTCCTAACCTCTCCTTCATAACATCTCAAACTACTTAAAAAAAACTATGTGTATGTATTTGTATTTGTGTTTGTATAATTTGGACTGACAAAATTGACAAAAATACACCACAAACACAAATATTCACCTTTCTTTTTTGTCAAAATTCATCAAAATTCTTTTGGAAGTCAGACCTACATATAGAAAACTTCCCAGAAAAGACGTGAAATTGTTGTGCAGCCACGTAGACAGTTTTGGATCTATCTGAACCAAAACCCTGGTCTACGTGATCTGAGATGCTCATAACTGGGCTCTGCACTAGATTTCAGGTCTCAAATGTCATCTTCCAGCGGAATGAATGTGGTTGAATCTGATTGGCTCCGTGCTGTGTGGGAAAAGAGGCCGCGTGCTGCCACACGTGCTGCAAAACTTTTGCTCTGGTCCCCTTTCAGAAAGCGTCCAATAGCCTGAAGGAGAGCATAGATCTGCTACGTGACAACAGGCTGCTTGCTTTCTACACGCTGGTTTAAGCCTTGAAACAAAAATAAAAAGATGAAGCCATGTCTGGCTTCACCTGGATCAGTTTTTTTTTTGGCGAGCCAACATTTTTCTAACCAACTGTTGTTGGCAGCTTTTGTGAGATCTAAAAGCAATCCTGCACACGACAATTTAAGATTAAACTCTCTTGCTTTAAATAGCAAATGAATCAGTGATGCATTATCTTAGACTAGCACAAGATCTCCATATCAGAGGTAAAGTTGGACCACGACTGTCTCTGTAGAACTATCAGTTCATCTTCCTGGGCTTAAAAATAGTTTGAATGGATAACAAGGCTCCAGACAGATTAGAAGTAAGCATTATTGTGTCTATAGACAGAAAACCACTGAAGAAGAAGAAACATCAGATCCAAAGCTGCAGCCATCTCACATGACTACACCCACCCGCTCATTCATTCTGACCTACAGACGTCAACATGCACTCTCATCAACAGGTTTCAAAAACCATCTGTGCATGTGCAACAGAAACTTTAACACCAGAGCACAGGCAGACAGACAGACTAAAATGTCTGGACATTTGTTCTCCAAGACTCCCTCCCTCCCAGTGTTTACCTTATTTGGCCTTTGGAATAATTCAGCAAGTTTGCTGTCTAGTTGGGTTCACATAGGTCCACAAGCTCCGGCCTTCTGAGCATGAAGTCAGAGTATCTCACGGAAGAGAAGAAAAGTTGGAGAAAAGGAGTTCCTGTGCTGGGAGA